AGTGCAGGGCTGACCATGTCATCTTTAGACCTGGGTGCTTTATATGCAAACTGCAGGGCATCTAGCAGAAGGTTTATAAAGGCCTTCAAGTGGGCTAGGTGTTCAAAGACCTTCAAGACTACAGAGGTCAGGGCTGCTGGCCTGTAGTCTGTACTGTTTGTTTTTTTGGGGACTGTAATGATGGTAGATGTTTTGAAATGTGGGAACAGAGCAAAGTTCCAGTGCTTTGTTAAAAATGTTTGATAATTGGTGCTTTAGGGTGGTTGGAGAAACTCGATTACAAAAATGTGGTGGTGGTTGGAGAAACTCGATTACAAAAATGGTTCTTTAAAGAACAACCCATTGAAAAATGAAGGGATAAACTTTAGTTCTATGATATTTCTCAAAAGAACCCATTTTGGTACCTTGATTTTTAATATCGTAATACTGTAGCTACTTTTCCTGACAGTGGGTTACTAGACATGGCATCAGATGTTTGATTTCATATGCATACGACTTTGGAGTTGTTTAGAATTCTCATCTGATAAGTCATAAAGTGTTATCACAATATGATTCTTTTGCAATTAAAAAGAAAAATTATGTTATATGACATTGTGATATATTGAAAATAGGCTGTTACATTTCTACTTTACTAATACTTCTCAAAGCATTCTCAAAGTACTCTTCAGGATTTTGGGACAAAGTCAGAATTCTGAGAGCAAAGGTAAATTTCAGTGAAAAGTTATGCAAATCAGGTGCATTATCAAAACAAATGACAAGTAAAATCTTTCTAGGAATCTGTTGCTGACAGCACACAGTCACCAATACCATATATCCAGTGATGTCACAGATGTGAAAGCAGCTGCCCACATACTCCCTGAGAGGTAAAATAAACAGAAAGAGAACACCATGACCCTGTTTCTAGAGAGAGGGAGGGAGAGAGAGCGAGAGGGCGAGAGAGTTACCTGCTCTCTTTGGGAACATAGTGGCCTATTTTTCATTTTCAGCCATGCGTCTCCAGTGTCACAGCCATCAGACTCACTCAGCATACACCAGAGGAGAGGGAAGCGGGCAGGAGAGAAAAGGAGAGGAGACAGAAGTGGGTAGAGTGGTAAAGAGACATGCACAGACTTCAAAATGGCAAGATGTTGTCAGAGTACACATGGGTGTGTGTATGCGTGTTGGTTTTCATACATTTTCAGGACTAGATCCAAAGGAAAAATCCTGGAAATAAGGAGCAACAAAATGCTCCTGATTTTGTTTTTTTTCCCCCAAAACCTCTGTGTTTTAATCAAAAAACATCTTATCTTGTGGTGGCTGAGGGTAGGATTCAGGTTAGGGTAAGGCTTAGAAAATTCTTACATATAGGCACTAACATAAGACACATATGGGACAACACATTATGATTACTTTTACACACAGACTGTTTGAAAACAAACAAATGACATTAATGCAATAAGTAGTGATTTTATGTATATTAATGTCTTTGTTTAATTTCTAAACCTCTCCCCAATGAAGCCCAGTATTATTTGGAGTTATTATCCAGTCCCCAGTCTGTAGATTTTAATTTATTTGTTTATTTATTTAATTATTGTTGTTTTTGTTATTCCTGCATTCCACCCTGGGACTGCTGGACTCCAGCACCCCCACAACCCAGAAGGATAAGCGGTTTAGAAAGTGTGTGTGTGTGTTTGTGTGTGTGTGTGTGTGTGTGTGTGTGTGTGTGTGTGTGTGTGTGTATGTGTATGTTTTTGTTGTTAAGTATATGTACTTAATGGTTCTAGTAGCTAAGTGTGTGCATTAAATATGCTTGCATAAATAAATAAATATGCACACATAATATATATGGGATATATTATTTTTACATGCACATATTACATAAATATGCATACATGGGACGTTTTATTATTACATGCACATACTTACATACATTACATTATCATCACATTTTGTGATTATTTAAAATAATAACAACAAAACTGAGATACAAGCTTTTGTTCCAACAGCAACAATATATCAAATAGGAAGCACATTATTGTATCATGTGGCAACCCAATCCTGACTTTGTATAAAACAGACCGGTGTGAGCACAGGCTACTTTGTCCTCGTTCTGTCAGTAAGAATGGGTGGGGCACTGCAGCCTCCCTCTCCCTCTCTCCCGCTCTCTCTCTCTCGCGGGGATTAGTAAAAACATGTCGTCATGTCTACTTTAATCTGTGTGTGTCACTGAGTTCCACCACTGAGCTGATGTGGAACCCTGCCATCCATGTCATTTACATAACACACACACACAAGCACACACACTTGCCATCCTGAAGGTGATGTAATGACAAGCTTCAGCCAGCAGTGTTGGAGATTAGATTTTCTGATGCATTCCCTGCCGCCATAGTAAGCATGACCAGCATAGAAGAACACAGACACATACTACCCTGCTAGTGGCAGAAGAGGAAAGTCGGTCAGGGTGCCCTTGAGTGGGAGTGGGGTGAGGTGTTAAAGAGAGCGTGTGAGTAAAGAAAGTTCAGGTTAGGGTAAGGCTTAGAAAATTCAACACATATACATATATTCCTGTGTATATATATATATATATATATATATATATATATATATATATATATATATATATATAGCCAGCTGATTAATCAGAACTGAATTCATTCACAAAGTTGAAGTGACCTACTTTTGCATTTGGCTGTGTGTGTGCACCTACATTTGTATGTGTGTGTGCATTGTAAAGATTTTCCACTGCCTGTTAGAAATTAAAGGAATACTTTAGCCAAAAATGCTAATATGGTTAACAGTTAATGGCTAATAGCCACCGGTTGGGAGGGTTTATTTGCGTAATGCTAATTGCTGGTTACTTACTTTTATTCATTATTAGCAGTACTAGCATTTTTTCCTTCTCATTACAGTTACGTCATCAGCTTTAGGCTGGAGGTGTTTTTGTCACACACCCACACACACCATAACCTCTTTTTTGCTTTTTTTTATTTCTTAGGAGTAGGAGTTCAGTTAATTAATGAATTGATTAAGTAATCCAGTCACAAGCAGAGTGTTAAATTCCACTCTTGCTTCAAATCTTCAGAGGGGCCTATTAGCTGTCTTTTTATACACCAACCCACACACATGCACAGAATAAGTCACAGCTCGGTTGTGAAAGCCTTAGGGAACACAGAGCAGAAAAGATAAAACACAAGAAGCTTCAAACACTATCATGCACTTGGTGGCACTTTAATGAACCCAACTGCTGCTCAGTACAGATGCTAACATCTAACACACTCTATCCTGCTAGAGCTTAGCTTGGCCACAATGCTAACATTCACTATCATTCTGTTTCATTACCTAGAAAGCACACTTGCTATAGGGTTACTTACATCATATATTAACATTATTGCTAACGGTATATAAACTCATCTGTTGCTTAATGTATAGCACAGGTTAGCCACTAATCAAATTGCTATTTGTTTACATCCACTGTTTATATAGAACAGATAATGTGAATTGCGTGTTTTGCAGGTCATTTCGCAGATAATGCAAAATAACTTTGGAACATTGGAAGTGTTCAAAAGAGAATTGACTTTATAGAGAAACACTTTTACAAGAGGAGAGGGTGTAATATTTTGTGAAAATCTGTTTAATTAACATAGACCTTATTCAAGCTATCAAACAATATGTGGACTGATGATCCAAAAGTGCAAGTTCCTCTTACTCTTGAGTGCTTATTCTTTTAAGCAATTCACTACGCGCTTCAGCACTCTGTGGTCCCAATCTGTGCTCTTGTGTGGACTATTGTTTCGCAGCTGAGCCAGTGTTGCTCCTAGATGCTTCCACTCCACTTCAGAAATTTGATGAACTGACAGTGCCACATTAAGACCCACTGAGCTCTTCAGTACAACCCTTTTCGGCTACCAGTGTTTGTCTACAGGGGTTGCAATACTGTATGCTTGATTTTATGTAGCTGTTTGTAATTAATGTGGCTGAAATATCCAAACACACTTATTAGAAGGGGTGTCCATGCACTATTGACCAGGTTGCTTTTTTTAATCTTAAAGCTAATTTGCACTGGTCTACTGGCTTACCTCTGTACCAACACAAGGTGTAACAACAGCACTCATAGTACTAATGCCAACCAAAATAGCTGCAGAGCAAATCTGTGAATGAGAATGTCACACTAAAGGACCTGTATTTGATATTTACATTAGTTATTGCATACATCTGCACTCTTAGAAGAAACCTTTAAAAAAGGTCCTGTGATCGAAATAGTAGGGCTTCAAATGGCTCTGTAATGAGCTAAAAGGTGTTCAGGCATATTCCATACGGAGAACTATTTTTCAAAAGTCTTTTGTAAAGCACACTGTATAATAATGCATTGTAAAGAATGGTTTGGCCAAAAATGGAATTTACACATTTCATGTGTTCTCAAATATAGTCAATCAGCCAAAGCATGTTTAGTGTCGGAAGTATGCTTTTTTTAGTTTTGCATTGGAGCTCCAAGGCTACTGTAGCTGGAAACCTATACCTAACCGTTAGCATTGTGCGTGCTTAAATCATCATTTTGGAGTCAATAAACTTATCAGATGTCTGGTTCTTAGCATCTGTTAACAACTCTGACTCTGTAAGCTTCACTAGAATAATGCATTTCACATCAAACCACTCTAAATCACTTTATTCATATCTTTATGATGTAACTATGCAGAAATTTTGAAAAATTGGTGGAGTTTCCCTTTAATCATAAACTTGCTTATGTGGTTTCTGACACTCTGTGTCATACTGTTGTCTATTAAAATGGACAACATTCTATTAACAGTAGAAGGGTTCCTGCCTTTTGTCTGTACTTTTGCCGTTTTTTTCATTTCTTGTACACCATCTATTATTTGTTAGCTACGCATGTAGTTCCAGGGCAAACTTCAGACACCAAACACTGGCTGATAAACTAAATAGGAATTAAGGAGAAAATTGTGTAAAGTTCATTTTGCCTTAAGGTCATATGTAATAAACTGATAACGCTTCTTGGTCTTCCACAGCATCCAAGAGTCGCCCATGCAGTGAGGAGTATCGCCGCATGCCTCCGCCCAAACCCAAGCGTAACCCCAACACTCAGCTCAGCACCTCCTTTGACGAATCCTACATCAGAAACCACGGCACCAAGTTCAAATCTGCCTCTTTGCCCCGGCGGCAGAAAAAGAAGTCGGCATCCCAAAATCAAAGCCCCGCCCCGGACACTGATGAGGAGGCGGAGCCTGTATACATAGAGATGGTGGGGAACATTCTTCGTGACTTCAGCCATATCACTGGAGGCAATGCTGATGAAGAGGACGATCAGGGTGAGAGTGTGTATGAGGAGATGAAATATCCCACTTACGAAGAAGTAACCCTGCCTCCTGAGCATGCCCAGTCACGCTGGGATCCATGCACCACACCTGCAGTTCCAGATGTGGAACTCACTCGGCCGACAACCCCCCGTGGCTCACTTTGTGACATCCCTGCCCCCTTTCCTAACTTGTTGACTCACAGGCCCCCACTGTTGGTATTCCCTCCAGCCCCGGCTCAGTGTTCCCCAAATTCAGATGAATCCCCCCTCACTCCACTTGAGGTCACCAAACTTCCCATGCTAGAAAATGTTGGCTACGGCAAACCTGGTGCCTCTCCGACAACCAGTGACCCTGGGCAGCCCTTGCCACCACAGCAACCTTCGGGGCAACACCACCACCATCACCATCACAAGAAATCATCGGACAAAGAACCTTCATCCACCCAAACGATCACGGCATCTGGTCGTTCCTCTGCCCCGCCGCTTCCATCAGCCTTGTACAAAAGTGGTGGCTCCTCTGCAGCTCATGGTTACCCCAGAAGCCACTCTGCCTGCCCGTCTCCTGTCAGCATGGGACGTGCGCTGACCCCTCTCAGCCTAAAACGGCCACCGCCATACGATGCTCTGCTGACTGGCACCATTCCCCGCAGTGCCTCCGGAGTCCCTCATGGATCCCGTGAGAGCGGACGCCTCTCAAACTCCTCCAGCATCCATGGTGGATCCATGCAAAATGTTTCCACTGCATCAGGAGGATCAGGGGGGTCCAGTTCAGGGTCAGGAGGCCGTGGATGCCGTACACCAACCAGTCCTCTGGATGAACTCAGCAACTTGTTTACCTCTGGAAAGAACATGCTGAGAAAAGGCTCTGGGGGACGCAAGAGCAAGGAGCTCTGTGAAAGTGAGTTACCAATGTTTTATTGATTCTTTACAAAGTTAATATTCTGTTTATGTTAATAACATCTGTTTGATAGTTGGACCTGATCAATATTTTTTTTCGTACATGGATGTTTAAGAGCTAAAAGTTCAGATAACTGAAAATAAAAAAAGCGACCCATAAGTAACCTAATAGTGTTGAAAAATCTGTGAATGCTTAATATCATCTAATTTTGTTTACTAAATGATATGTAATTTAGGCCATTTTAGCCTTTACTTGTCAACATGGTATTGAAACTATAAGACATTGTAAATGGTTTTTAACATATGAATACATGTAGTTTATTGCAAAAAGTACTGTATAAAATAACAAAACAGAAGGGTCATTTTCTTATATACGCTGGTTGAGGGGGTACACAGTAACTTTAAAGGATGTTAAAGGATCCAAGACCTCCAAGTTCCTTCAGTGTTCTTGGTCCCTGCTTGTGGCCACTTCTCTTCAGCTCACTTCAAAACATGCATGTCTTTCTCTACATAATGCTCTGGTTCCCTTGCCTTTTCATAGCCAAACAGCTCCACAGGTGCTCACATAAATACCTGCAAACTTGACAGTGGGTATTAGTGTTCTTTCTTTTTGCACCAAACCCTGGTGTTTGTGGCCTAAAAGCTCTCACCTTTGTTTTATAATACTCATTTTCTGTGTAAGTTTCGGAGATGTTTGGCAAAAACAGTTTGACAAAGAATACAAGCGTTCTTCTGAAGTCTTCCAAATCAGTTGCTAGCATGAAGGTGTCGTGATTTTGATAACTTATGGCATTTTTCCACTGGTATAGTACAGCACAGTACGGTTACAAATACAAACCCAAAACTACAGAGTCTATATAGAGTCCCATAAAGTTGTCTTTGTCTTGCATGGTCACATGATTTCTCACACCATTCTAGTGTTAACAGTAAACACAAACAACAGTAGCAACAATAGAGAAGCTTTAATTTTTCACTCTGCATTTGGTTTTATGTGAGTCACCGACAGCGATTCTGGCTAGCCAAGTTTTTTTTTGTTTGTTTGTTTTTGAAAAGTGGTCATTTGACTCCACCAAATTAGCTCCACCCAAACATTCCACGCCAACGGGCTTGGCACCCAGGCAAAAAAGGGTAACCAAATTCAGCACACGTACGGTTCACTTGGGAGTGGAAATGGTGACAAAATGCCTGACCACATATTTATAACTGTACCATACCTCACTTTGCGGATGGAAAACGTTATTAGTGGCACTAAGATGTAACCAGCACCTGCAGTTTGTCACCTGTGGTGCTTAGAGAACCTTTTTATCACTTAGATCATCCTTTTCACCAGCAGAGAACATCAGTGATAATCGTGTAAGTGTTCTTGAAGACTCAAATGATCTTAACGCTGTCTGTCCAAAAGTTCCCAGACGCTCTTCTAGTAAGTGAATTCAACTACATTAAGGTGTACCCATTGCTGCCACAGACATGTCTAATCTCCAAGGAAAAGCTTTGGCAATATAATGGAACACTGTGGAGCAGCAGCCCATGAACGTAACGGAACGATACCCAGTGCCAAGCATCAGCAAAAAAAATATAAAGCCCCACAGTATTAGGCTGTAGAGTAGTAGACTTGCTTTTTCTGGAGAGAAGGAGCGCCATTGAATACCTTTGGGATGGGTCGGGGGGGCGTTTGTGATCCAGAGCTAATCACCCACATTAGTACCTGACCAAATGGTCTTGTGGCTGAATGCATTCAGATTCTCACAACATTTTTCAAGCATCTAATGTAAAACCTTCCCAGAAAAGTAGAAACTGTTACTGTAGCAAAAAGGAGACACTTTCTATCAATATGATAGATTTCAGCACGCTTCGATTTCAGAAGAAATGTTGGATGAGCGAATGTCTTCAAACTTTTGGACATACAGTGTAGGTCGGAGAGAAATCATTTAGGATTTGAAATGGATCTTGTCGTGTTTTCTACAGAGATCATTGTCCTTTTTTAGAGTGTTGTTCTTTCTCTGTATACGGAACAGGGAATGATTTGATTTCCTATTTCCACGGTCTAGTTCCGTCATCACCCCAGGTGCATCAGTCCATGTGTGTGTGTGTGTGTGTGTGTGTGTGTGTCCACATATTACAAACTGAGTGATCATCCTACTCACAGCCTGTTCACCACACTGACAGACAGAAACAGAGAGGATGTAAAAGGAGATTTTACTATTGCAGTTCTTAAGCTTATTTTTATGTTTATTCACATTTTTTGCTGTTACTTTCAGTATAATGATGGGCTGCGGTTCGTTTGTGTATTTTTGACTGTGTTGGTGTTTGTGTAGCAGTTATATAAGGCTTTTTATTTGGCTGTTACGGTGAGTTAGTGTGCGGTTACACACATAGACTCACTAGGGATGGGCAATAAGGCAAAAATATATCACAATACTTGAAGAGTTTCGGGTATATATTGTGGTATATACTTTCAAATAAAAACTTTACATGGTAAAGTAAACCTATTTTTGTAGGTTAACTTATTATTCTGGGGTGTCCTTTTATTCTTAATAAGAATAATTTTTAACAAAGTAAATCTAAAATATTTTTATTGTGCAAAATTGTAAAAACACATCTGAACAATACATAATTGAACCTCTGTCAGTATTGCTTTCTAATACTAGCCCTGAGAGTCCAGCAAAATCTGTGCTAAATGTTGTTTCATGTCTGAATTTCTACAAGGCTCAAGTTGGCTTCTTATTCAGCCGCTTTTTGTTCAGATTTTCCATTCCACCTTAAATGAAACAACACTTACATTCTGTCACGTTTGCAGTCGGCTCAATGGAACTACTGCATCATTTAAGGTGGAATGGATGCCAAGTGGCATATGATGCAGCTGACTGAGTTACGCAGCTTTTTGAGCAGTGCGTGAGGAAACTGGAGTGAGGCAATTGCCATTCCTTTGTGTTCGCTGCCTCAAAAACAAAGTGGACTGTTTCATATGCAACCGGCTAGACAGCGGGAGGTGATCGAAGGACTGCTGCATTTTCATTTTCATTTGAAATGTGACTAAAACATACATGACTCAGCTGCATTAGCAAATATTTATACATCACATTATCTGCACTTATTTGCGGTAACAGTTATGACAAAACTGATGAAGAATTTCAACCGGTATACCAGATCAACCTGCATACCCACTGCTAGTTCATGTATTGACCATGTCATGTAAATCATAGCAAGACGCTATTCCCGCACATGAACATATCCTACATTAATAGGTGACTGTTCCAGAAACCTAGCAGTTGAGCTGCGCTGATCGAACATGCTCCGGGGGGGAGGCTTGGGGTGGCCAACTGTGTAAAAAGCCACTAATGTTGTGGAGCACATTTTATTACATTCTAGACAAAAGACAAGACAAAACAACTTTGGGTCTTGGGAAAAACACTATCCTGTCTTGTACAATTGGACATCAGGCAGTACCACCTTGAACAAAAGGCATCACACTAAGTGACTACAGACACCATGTCCTCAGATGGTAGAATTAATTACAGTTTCATGCCAAATTAAAGATGATAATACACTAAAACTACCTAAACATAGTTTACTGTTAGCTTTCAAGGTCTACGTTTTACATCACAACAAACAGAAATAGTTCGCACAGATGCATGCAAATAAAAGAAAATTAAAGAGACACGTCATTGGTCAAAAACAAATAAAGGTCTAACTTCTATCTGATGCTATGACATGTTTAAATGACCATGACAGGCCAAATTCCACTGTTGTTCTCTGCAGATTTAAAGTGACACAACGTTGCAGAGCAAGCAGGTTTGGTCATTTTTACTTATGCACGCACATGTACACACACACAAATGCAGACATGAGACTGCATGTCTCACTTTCTTAGTGCTCACTTCAACAGTGACACTGTGCACACACACACACATATTCATCAGTCACAAACAATTTAGCTTCCCTCCCTTTCCAACAAACATGGTACACGCGCACACACACATGCACACACACACACACACACACAAAAAAAAACACGTATACACACACACACACACACACACAAAAAAAAAAACACGTACACACACACACACACACACACACACACACACACACACAGGCACTGTCAGTATGTCTTCCATGGTTTTGTGATTTGGGACTTGTGCCTGACAGAGCATGGAGGATGCAAGATTAACTGGTGCCCTGTGTGTGTGTGTCTGTGGTCCTGGTGCATGTGTGTGCAGAAATGCAAGCTAGAATATGTTTTCATGCACGACTGAGTGTGTGTGGTGTGTCGGAGGCTGTTAGGGTTGCGGGTGACAGTGCAGCTAAACTACTGTGAACAGAACCTTTCTACGCCATAACAGCTCACTAATTACTGCCAGCTGGAATACAGAGCCTGCATGTGCAACAGTGCCTGACCAAAATGAGCATTTAGTCACCAATACCATTTTTGAACAGCTAAAAATTCAAATAACTGATATCAGCTGATTTCATTTCAATATTAAGAAATAATAATATGTAGACTTTAAATTAGGACTGGTTTGCACCGTACGTTTGTACTTCAGTTTGTGTGTAATGTCTTTACTAAATTCTTTTTTAATGCTAGTGAGCTTAAACTGTCCTTTTATTGAATTTGGTTGCATCACCAATCCGTAAGTCATGTCCAGTATAGAAGAGAATAATGTTAATGTTTTTACAATAAAACAGGGTAAAACCAAATACCTGTAACTATTGTTTGCTTATTTTTTTGATATTCCTTTCAACAATCGGGCCAGCTGACACAACAACATTAGACGCTTTAGTTTTGCATCCCACTGAACTGGAGCTATGGATATCAGCTTTATTTTTGTAGCTGAAAGGACTTTGATTAGAGAGCTGTAAGTCAAATCACAGCACATAGAATGCAGTTTTTTCGGCATAGTTATCTTAATAAGAAAAATCAGGTCTTTATGTCATCTATATGGTTTCTGTTAGTTTCCCTAACATTTTCACCTGCTTAAAGGTGCTTAGATACTAAGTTAA